AAGCATAACATGAGGGGATATAGGCTCAAAGGCTTGACACGGCTGAACTGTGGTAAGCACTTTTAGTCGATCATATTTTATTATTAAACATAAGTTGCTAAGTTATGCTTAGCCTCCCGAATATGAATAATTAGAGATATCAGCAATTTTAATCATAACTCAAACCATCCAAATAACCAACTTCTCAGTAAGGATCCAGGCCGCTCGTGACTGTGAGCACGGCTGATATACCTATTTTACACTCTGCAAAGGTTATACACTTTCACCATGAGTCGTGTTGCCCATATGCCCGGGTTAATTACTCCTAAAATACTTCCAAGGTGAGCAGGTAGGATACACTACGAAGTTTTTTCCCAGTCATTCTAATAAGGAGCAGCCGCTAAAGATTCCATCTCCCAAGTGTTATGGAGTCATCTCCAAGAATGACACTAATACTCGCAGCACAGTACACACCTTGGGGATGAGGCCCATACTCAGCCTAGTATGCCCTTTCGGTAAGTTGCTACAAACTAGAAAGAGCAAGCTACTGAACTAAGACCAGAGCCATGTGGTCCTCATGGTTGTACTATATGTCCTGGGGTGCCACTTAAAGACGAGTCCTTATGGAGAGAAACTAGAGCAATATAAGAAAAGGCACAATGCTCTAGCCCTCTGGTTCCATGTTGCTAAAAAGCATCTTTTAATACCATGTTGCATACATCTCTAATTGTATTCTTTACTCAATATTAGTTGGAGCAACCTAAGCATACTACCCACATGCAAAACCCATAGGTAAATCAAGGACACGGTATCAATATCAAGGTAGACAAACTCCAAGCGCTTCATTATCACATGCATATGAATAGTATTGTGTTGAAGTGAATAGGTAACAAGGAGCCTCATATTACACTTGCCTTCTTCCGAGTATTGATGCTGATCTTGGTCGACAAATAGTTGCTCAGGATCACCAATGTACAGCTCAGTATCTACTCGAGATCAAATAGCACCACATCGGCATCCATGCATACATCCATAGCAAACAAATAATAACTAATTAGAACAGTACACCAAACAGTATAAATATAAGTTAAAAAGGTTTTAAGACTGTTCTACGCGATCCTACGAGTACACAGACGCGAGAATCACTCAAATTGGAGTTAAAACGGTGAAGTTACAGCTCCAACGGTGTCGAGTGGTAGTTCTGTAAATAACTAAAACTATTTTCGAATTAAAACAAATGAATCTGAATTTCAAAAGGGCTGAGGAGGGCGGGTTCTATATTTGAAAAGGTCAGGGGGCTCCATACGAAAGTGACGGCTGCGGTTGACCAAGTCGTCGGTGCGACGTGGCGGCATGGGATTGGTCAGGATGGTGAGCAGGGTGCGCTGTGCTGTGGACCGGCTTCTGTGGACTGAGTTCACAGGTTCACCGTGAACCGAAAGGGTATCCTGGCCAGAACAGGGACCAGACGCGGTGGTCCTCCATGGACAGCGGCGAGCACCTCGCCGGAGTTATCCGGGAACGACGTATAGGCCTCAGTTCTCCACGGGGAAGGCACGGGGACATAGGGCGGACTACGACAAACCCACCCAGGCACTTTATTAGGACAAGAGACGCCTCGGAGACGACGCAGGGCTCGTCGTGGTAGACGGTGACTACCTGCAAGACATCGGTGGCCGCGTGTGAGACAAAGAGAGCTGTAGAGAGAGGAAAACGAACACCTACGGCTTCTTCACCTCAAGCCGAACGGTGACGAATGGCCTTCAACTTCAGCGAGGCAGCGGCCGGCGTCAATGGCGGCGGCGGGCGAGCTCTGATCGACGACAAAATCCAGAGCGTGCGTGCGGCACGGAGCTAGGGCAAAGGCGGCGGCACGTAGATGCGAAACGGGGGCACGTACGGGGCCTCGGATCTTTATAGGGGTACTCGGCGTGGGGATTACGCCAAATCCCACGGAAACCAGGATGGTGGCGGTGATTTCATTCGAGCAGAGCGATTCCGGGTCGAGCACGGGAGGTAGGAGACGCGGCTGACGTGTGGGGCTCCTTCATCAGCGAGCACGGAGAGGAGGAGCGCGCGGGCTTTCCACTAGGGCCTGCTGCGCCACTTGGGCCAAGAGGCCGGAGAAGGGGAGAGAGCGTCGGCCAAGGCCTTGGGCCTACGGGAGAGAGGAACCAGGGCGGGCTGGCCTTGCCGCCAGGCCTAAAGAGAGAGGGAGAGAGATTTATATTTTCTTTTTTTTCTTTCTTTTGTTTTAAAGCCAAGTTCAAAACCAATTTTGAAACATTTTGAATTTTAGCCAAAGAGTACTCACTACAATAAAAAGAATGCAGCAGCATGAATGCAAAAACATGTTGCTAGACTTATGATGAATTTTAATTTGAATAAAAGTTATTACTTTCCCTATGTTTTAATGTGCACAAAGTTACATAATTAAATCAATTTAGTTCTATTCAGAGAAAAGTAAATTTCAGGGTCAACTTCGAGGGGATTAAAGCAATCCCCACCTGATTTCAGTCCACTTATTCCAGCAAGCTGGTGGGTGGAAAGGGCATAGCCCTCCGAGTCTTAAAGTTACAATTCAAATGCAAAATGAAGCAAAGCAAAGCAAATGGTTGTGATTACATATCGATGGAGGCTCTCCAGTAAGCAGCCAAAGCTGCGTTCCTTCTTTGGAATTCTAGCACTCCAGGAGCGGACGGATTCCTATCAGGCGGCGATCAGACTATCAACACTTGGTTGAAACCCCTGAATACAACTTCGTTCCGGTGTTTCCAAATTTCCCAGCAGCAGAGGAGGATGAGCGGGTGAGCCACTTTCTTGTGCACGAGGGGTGGGGTCTCGGTTCGCCACAGTTCAGAGGCCTTGGCAGTCCCTGTCACTGCCCAGCCTAGCCTGAGCCAGAATGCAGGAGCAAAGGCGCAACCGGAGATGATGTGGTCTGTTGTTTCGTCGTCGTTGCCACAAATCTCGCAGCGGGTCTCGTCCAGGATGTGTTTGCGGCAGCGGCGAAGCCGGTGCATATGTGTCGGGGTCATGCGACCCTGATAACTTTGTACGAATCAGTGGAACCCCGCATATTCTGGTCAGCTACGACCTCATCAATTTGAGTTCATGAATCTGTGCGACCCCAGTAGCAGTTTAGTCTAGATTGGCCGTTGGTTTTTCTCGACCACCGCGCGCTTGATTTTGTCCTGTGTGTCAGATCCACTACGGACTCTCGCGCTTGCGTGTGAGAGAGCAGCGTCGCATCCAGGTCCCACGCGCCACATCTCTCGGAGGCTGTGACTCCTGCGCCTTAAAAAGTGAAACTGTCCACGCCCACAAGCTCCATGGTTGCGTAAAAAGCAGCAGCAGCTAGGAAAACCATTTACTGACGCATGGTTCTCCGGAAGAGAGAGAAAGAGAAGAATTGCAGGGGTAGTCGCTATCGCCCCATAGTTGCAGATTACATCTTGGATCATATTTTAGTATTCCTATTTATATGTAAATTTTATGTTTAATTGACGTATATTGATTATTCGGAAATGTGAATGGTCAGAATTACGTAAACAGTTATCTGATATTTTTTTGAGGTTTTTTATTTTCTGTATGTTTTATTTGGTTTCTCTTTAAAAAATTTCGATTTGGCTTACATAGAAATAATCTCGCTATTTTTTTCTTTGTTTAATATTTTTGTATTATTTAGATATTTTTTTTTGTTCAATTGATCTAGATCCAATAGTCTAACAATCAAGTGTTTCATGGATAAAAACACTGTTTCAATCGCCAGTGTTTTAGGGGCTATACACGCTCGGGTGTCACATGCCCCTAGGACACCCGAGCAGTGAGTAGACACACGCATACTCATACTGTTAGGAAAAGGTTACACTACGTACGGGAATCGATAGCTTTACCGGCGTGCAAGCATGTTCATCCAAAGAACTAGCTAGTTCCTTTGAATGACGACTACAGGTAGGGAAACGAATCTCACATTAATTTATATTGTAATCCTTTTATTTCTGAATAGTTTATGCCTTGTTTAGATCCTCCATCAAAACTTTACACCCTATTTCATCGAATATTTGATATATGCATGGAGTTTTAAATATAGACTAAAAATAACTAATTACACAGATTGCGACTACTTTGCGAGGTGAATCTTTTAAGCCTAATTAGTCCATGATTTGACAATAAAGTGCTACAGTAACACATGTGCCAATGACGGGTTAATTAGGCTTATTAAATTCGTCTCGCGGTTTACCCCCGGATTCTATAATTTGTTTTGTCATTAGTATCCGAACATCCCATATAACATCTCATTTAACATCCGATGTGACAACCTAAAACTTTATGTCCTGTATGTAAACAAGGCCTTAACCTTGCATATGGAACGTAGGCACAGTGTTGAGATTAATCACAATGGCAATACGTAGCGATGTGTGCATGTTGCCCACGTGAGTACACCGTCCACACTCGTCTCGTGAAGCCTAAACTACAATACTCCAGCACATCGATAGGCATACGGACGTACACCTACTCCAGTTAGCCCTGCCATTATTCAAGATGAGTTGGACAAGTTTAAATAATGGAGACTTGTGACAGATTCATCAAGTCTCGAGCTACAGAATTCATTTGTTTATGCCGGTCTTCCCAGATGCATCTCCGCTCAACCCCACTCGAGCAAACTCCTTCACCATTCCTCAATTCCAACTGCTCACTACTTCCGCCCTCTCGCCAATACGCTACAGGAAACCTTGGTGAGTTGCAGATCTTTTAATTTGGCTAACTTCTTTCGTGTTGGTTGGACATGCATAGAGAACGATCGATGTTTACATTTTAGTTCGATTGTATTTGTTTCCACGTTGCTTGTTCCATTTTTATTCGTTGCTTTTTCTTCTGCTGCTGCTTCAATTTTTCTTCTTCAATCAGTGGATGAAAGCTGTTTCTGCAATCTAATCTGCGCAACTCTTTTCTGATCTCATGATCCTCATCCACATGTGCTTCGGGAATATCAGTAGTCAGTTGTGACCTTGGGAGCCATGGATTTCGCCACAGGGCCTCTGGGCACCCTGCTTTCTAAACTCGGCCAGCTGCTCCAAGATGAGTACAACCTTCAGAAGGGAGTGAAGAAAGACATCGAGTTCGTCACGAGAGAGCTGGAGAGTATGCGTGCCGCCCTCCGCGATGTCGGAGAGGTGCCACAGGAGCAGCTCAAGGAAGTAGTCAAGATCTGGGCTCGGGATGTTAGGGAGCTCTCCTACGACATGGAGGACATTGTTGACACGTTCCTTGTGCGTGTCCAGGGCTCTGAGCCTCCCAGCAAAAGGAGTGTCAAAAGGTTCATCAAGAAGATGACAAGTATTGTGAGCAAGGCCAAGACTCGCCATGATATCGGCCAAGAGATTAAGGACATCAAGGAGCGTGTCAAGGACGTGGCCGAGCGACGTGACAGGTCAGTGCCGGGACATCACAGACTTTGCGTTCGAATTTCAACAAAATTTTCTCTTATTTGCCTCTTTGTTCTGTTTTTTTTCATCTCTCTACACAGGTACAAGGTTGATGCTATTACTCCTACCAAAACCTCAGTTGACCCTCGCATAACAGCTCTGTACACTAAAGCGGCTAGCCTTGTGGGCATTGATGAGCCAAGGAAGAGCTGATCTCGATGTTGACAAAGGAAGATGGCATGTCATCGGCTGAACAAAGGATAGTCTCTATCGTTGGCTTTGGAGGACTAGGCAAAACAACGCTTGCCAAAGCAGTACATGATAAGATTAAACCGCAATTCAATTGCACTGCTTTTGTATCGGTGTCACGTGATCCTGATATTATAAAAATTTTCAAGGACATGCTTTATGAGCTTGATAAGAATGAATACATGGACATTCACAATGCTGCATTAGGTCAACAGCATCTTACTGACGTTGTGCAAGAATTTCTCAAAAATAAGAGGTACGTGCTGTCTTGTGCGCGCTAGTCCAAATAATCACCGCATGAGTCCATTGGATGGAAACCTCTGAAGATTATTGCACACATGCGTGGTACTGTCAACAGTAAAGTTGTAGGTTCATGCTTGGCTACAGTCGTCAATCAGAAAGTGTGGCGGCGGCTGTGCATGTGTATCTTCTTTCCATTGTAAAATTGCCCATTTACCTTTTTACTTTCAAACCAAATGATTACACAACTGTGGGCATACGAGCATTGTTGCCACCATTTGTCCTCATTGTACTCTACCTAGTGGCACCAATTAATGCTTTTTCTTATAATGAAAGGTTTATTAATTTAAGGATCATTGCATCGGGTCGACAAAACTTCTCAAAAACTCCATCGATCTTTGTATAGCACGATTATTCACGAAATCTAATAAAGTACGGAAACATGTATACCTAAGGGCATACTGTTAGTGCTGACAGTTATTTGCTAGCAGAGAAAAGCTAGCTGATTGATTTTTATTAGCTAACCTATTAGTTGAGTCAAGTCAAGGTCCTTCATCTAGTAGTCAGTAGTATTTATCTTGGGAAAATCAGTTAATAATTTTTTTATTACAGAGGATCCTTTTGAGCTAGCTATTAACTGGACTATTAGCTTGTGTGTTTGAATCCATTAGTGTTAATTTTAGCAGCTAACAGTTAGTGCTAATGGATCCAAGGTGGACATAATAGCTATCAATCAAAACACTAGATTGCCTTCCATGTACCCATCAAAACATAATCCTAACTACCTGTGCCAAATGTTGTGAAGCTGCCACAACCAAACGCTATGAAGCCGGCTTCTATATGATATATAGCCTATGTAAAGAGCCAGTGGATAACTGGGTACCAAGTGAATCCTCCTTAACCAAAGTGCCTGACACATATCGGTTGCCTCTATCAAGATGTACTTTTGGTTTTCATTGCATGGAAAGAATCTCTCATGATTATTGCACACATACATGGTGTCTGTCAACAGAAAAATGTTGGATTTATGACATAAAGTTATAAATCGTCAGTGACTAATTGTGGTGTGTGTGCATGGATGATGTTGTTCCATGAAAGAAATAACCAACTGCTTTTGTATTTTTCTCATTACATTTTTATGCCAAAAGATTACACAACTATAGTAATATTCCACCAAAGAATGCCGACATGTAGCTAAAGCTGCTTCCATATATCAATCCAAGTACATACTGACCTAATCTGAGTGCAAACGGGATAACTTTTATTGTTTAGGAGAGATTAGAAAACACAGGAAAATAGTAAGAATGGACATGTTCCTACTTATTACCTTGCAAATTATTACCAGCATATGCTTATACTATAAATCATCTCTATCTATTATTTTCATGACTCTCTATTGCCGCATACATGCAGGTACCTCATTGTTATTGATGATATATGGGATACGAAACCATGGGAGATGATACGGTGTGCTCTACCTGAGAATGGCCTGAAAAGCGGAGTACTCACAACTACCCGTATAATTGATGTTGCAGAGCATGTTGGTGGTTGCTATAGGATGAAACTTCTTACTCAAGAGAGCTCTAAAATCTTATTCTATGGACGAATATTTGACTCTATAGACAAGTGTCCTCAACAATTTTCTGATGTATCTGACAAAGTTTTGAAGAAATGTGGAGGTGTTCCATTAGTTATTGTTACCATATCTAGCTTGCTGGCAAATAAGTCAAGAAATATAAATGAGTGGTACAATGTGTGTGATGCAATTGGTACCGGAATAGGAAAGAATCCCGGTATGGACGATATGAGGAAGATATTGCTGCTTAGCTATTATGATCTAACTCCTCAGCTGAAGACATGCTTATTGTATCTAAGTCTATTTCAAGAAGATTGTGAGGTTATAAAAGATAGGTTGATTTTGAGGTGGATAGCTGAAGGATTTGTCCAACAAGGAGATGTGAGGCAAAGCTTATTTGAGATTGGACAGAGTTACTTCAATGAGCTTCTAAATGAAGCCTTATCCAGCCAGGAGACACATCGATGAGGATGATATGTATCCTCTTGGTTGCCGGGTGCATGATATGGTTCTCGATCTCATTTGCTCTTTGTCAAGAGAAGAAAGTTTTGCTACCAGATTAACTGATGACTGCAACCAAATCACAACTTATTTGGAAAGCAAGGTTCGCAGGCTCTCCATCCATAATACTACTCGGCCTACAATGAACATGTCAAAATTGAGGTCACTTACTATCAACAATCCTGCTATAATTAATTCAATGCCACCCATGTCATGCTTTTACCTTCTGCGTGTATTGGATCTTGAAGACTGCAATCTTAAAGACCATCCAAGTCTAGATTTTGTCGGGAAATTATTTCACCTGAGGTATCTAAGTCTATTGAATACTGGATATGCTGGCGACCTCCCAAGAGAGATAGGGAAGCTACAGTTTTTGCAGACATTGTGCTTCCATGAAACTGACATAAAAGAAGTGCCACTGAGTATCTTCGGGCTGAGACAATTAATGTTCCTTCTTGCTGGGGACACTACAAGGCTGCCAACAAGTGGGTTGAGAAATCTATCGTCTCTCGAGCTGCTTGTGATGAACATGGATTCTGCAAACATTGCAGAAGAGCTAGGCCATCTGACGCAACTAAGGGTGCTATGGGTTATGCTCAGAAAGGACAAGGAAGGCAGATGGGATGAAAGCATGTGCAGAGTTCTGTTGGGGTCCCTTGGCAAACTACACAGAATCCAAACTCTAGGAGTACGAATCTCAGATGACGTGGAAGTTGATGTTGAAGGCTCAATCGACTCCCTGTGGAACCTATCTCGGCTTGTTATTTATGGAACCAGTCGGTTGCCGAAATGGATCGATCCCACATCATTTCTCCCCCTATACTACCTGGACATAAAGGTGGGTCAAGTTAGAAGTGAGGACATCCAAGTCCTCGGCATGCTGCGGGCTCTTCGTGTTCTGGAAGTGAAAGTGGCTGGCGCAAAACAAGTGTTTGAAAGGTTCATGATTAGGGCAGACGCTTTCTCATGTTTGACACGGTGCAAATTCTCTGGGTTTTCAACAGTGCCATCTATGTTCCCAACTGGAGCTATGCCCAAGCTTCAACGTTTTAAATTCTATATCCGACCAGAGAATTTCGGCGACAGTGGATTGACTGTTGACGACCTGGCCTTAAGCCACCTTCTGTCCCTTCAGACTGTTCGGGTTCGCCTTGATGGAGAGGATACAGTCAGTGAAGAGCTAGCAATGAAAGTAAAAGAGGCGCTGAGGAACGAGGCTCGTGCCCACCCCAACCATCCTGATATTGATATCAGAATTGACGGCCAATGGATCCAGCTGTGCATGTACGTATTCCTATTCCTTCCTCTGCATGATTTAGATGGTTCTATAACTTTTCTAAGTGAACGCTTACTGTAGTCTGCCTAATAATCTCCTGCATGCTGCCATTAATACAATGACATCGATCGATGCCCCTAAATTCACCAACAACTTACCAGGAAAAATAACATATTTATCTCACCAGCTTATTCCAGTTTTATATGTCTCTAAGAATCCTTTACATTGTTATGCTTATAGTTTCCTTCTGATTCATTTGTTACTAGCACAACTGGTGATTGGACAATCTACTTTTGAACACTGTTTCTTCTTTGCACAGTTAGACTCCGGCTGGAACCTTGTTCCATTATCTAAAAAAATGTTAGACTCTGTCGTCATATTCAAAAATCAATGTGGCTGTCCTCTGATATAGAAATTCTGAGTTATTGGTAAATGATGAAAATCCTTTGTGGTGTACATGTACCAGGTAATGGATGGATGTACATTGGCTACGGCCTCAGGCACTGCCTACAGCAAGTACATCTGCGATATCTTGGCCAATGGCCCGTTGCTCACTGTCTCCACCTCATGTTTCCATTGCAGTTGATTAAGCAACAAGCTGTGCATTTTCCACTGTTCGCGATCCATCTTTGCTGTGCGATAGAGATCAATGACCATGCCTACACGCAAATTGTTCTCGTGTATTCAATCATGCTATCTGAATCTCTGTAGATCCACTTGGCTCACTCAAGATTCAGTTTACTTCTGCTCTTTAGACCTTCAGTAACACTTCTTCAGGGCTGCCGTTTCTAGTTTTTATCCGGTCTGTGTACTTACAAAGTTACAATTAAGTTTGTGCCGTATACTATGCTGTGCAAAATTAATGGAGGCACACTCATCATATGCTGTCATCATGGTTTTTACTTTTTATTGCTGTCACCGTTTCCTGTACACATCATGCATGTTGCAGTTTGTTTGGTATGTTTGGATGACAGCTGATGAGCAGACGCACTGAGTATGTCGGCCACAGTGAGTCCGATCCCAATAAGCAACTAATCAAAACAACAGGTTGTTGCCACAGTGCTTAATCACTTGATTTAAATCTGCCACCATGGTCCGAAGAGCCGAGAGGCCACTTTTCTGTGCGAAATGATTCTAGTCGCCATGAAGAACCATTGGCGCAATAATGGTCAGATTGAGAAAAGATCCAGCCAAATTCAGAAACTTAAAAAACCTTGTAATATGATAAAGCTGCACGACACAAGTGAAAGAAGCACATGGTTGTCACGATACTGCTCAAGACACTAGTGCTGCCAAGATGAGCGTTGGGCCAAACCAAGATGATGGGCAGGGCCACAAGTTGGAGAAGCGATTGGGCCACAACAGAACACTAACGGCACTCACAAGCCCAATTTTGGTTCTGCAGGTTTAGAATGGAGGAAGTAATCTAGGCCCCAACAAGGAAAAAAGTCAATATGAACTCCATTAGAAAACTATATTTTAGACTCACTAAACATTTTAAACCATGGGATTTACCCACTACAACATGACTCGTTATACAAGGCATTAACAAATGCCTCCAAAAATGATCAAAACGCCTTCAAAGACCTTTTTTGAGGCATTTATTAAAACGCCGCTAAAACATGGAAGTAAAAGGTCTTTTGAGGCGTTTTTCCAAAATGCATTTTAATATCAACTTTTAAAGGCATTTTCTGACTGCCTAGAATACTTTTTAGAGGCGCTTAGGAATTTGCCTTCAAACATCGATGGAGGCGTTATTAGAAATGCCTCCAAAACTAAGGTATTCATGCAACCCTTTCGACCAATATCAAATTAGCACACTAACAATGAGAGCACACATTAAAATTGGATGCATCCAAACTTTAAAATCTCTCGTACAGCCATAAGCTTTCATCTCCAAATATAAGTACAATTGTCAGGTTCTCGTTCCTGAATGACTATCCTCAGTCCTGTTGTTTAGGTTCAGTCCTAAATGACACAGGTTTGCTGCTCCCTTTAAGATAAATACTGACATGTTCACATCACAACTATATACACATATGTATAAGTATAAATCCAACTGAATAGATGTTGCCTCATTGCCATCCTTCCTGCTGTCCCCACTTACCTCATTGCCTCATTGCCATCCTTCCTGATCTCCAAATATCTGCTAACTCGATATAGAATCAGACCCACGTAAGAATCAGATTCACTGCTTGCAACCAAATAAACTTGTCCCAATAAGTATCACCAGGCTTTAGAACAAGTCATTAAAACACTAAGCTGAATAAATGTAGTAGAGCCGGACATGACAGAGTTACTCTACTTCAGCAAGATAACAAACATGGTACTATTGAATCAATTAAGATGACAGCATCATGGTACTATTGAATCTGGATTACAAACATGCCAAAACATTTAGAAATGTATATATAGACACAATCACATGTACCTGTAGACAAATCGAGCAGGGAAAACATGACAAATCTTCATTTGTCGAGTACATAACAAATAATTTTCCAATAATGAGAAGCAACAAGATGTTAACATTCTCTTTTGGAATCCCAGCATCATGCTCCTGTCAGCTGATTAAGCCACAAACAGGAAAACTAAATTATGCTCGTGATAGCTGCTTAAGCTGCCAACAGAAAAATTGCATCATCCAATCAACCAACATGAAAATAACATTACAAAGGCTAATCGCATATTCTAATTACTTCCTGACCTACTAAATCTAGAATTAAAGGCAAGGACACAGGTTTGTAGATTTTTTTAATACTCAGACCAAAACGCATGGAGTTGAGCTTTGATGGGGAAATGTTGCATGCATGGAAATCGATTTCAGTGTGCAGGATACATGAGGCTGCAAGTCGGTTTAGTAAACAGCAAAAAAGGCAACACAAACCTAAGTGGAATTTCATCAAACATGTTACCTGCACAGATCTCTCCACAAACCCATCTCCATGACCAACCCGAGCAATCTGACGCGTGTCAAACATCTCTCCATAACATGCCTAACCACCGACACCCCTGCCTTCGCATCTATCCTTCTAGTATTCCATCTCTCTAGGGAGGGGATCAGGAACGACAACATGGAAGAGAAATCATGAATCAAGAGGTGCTGACCTTGGCAGTTGAGGTCTCGATGTAGATCGTGATCGATGGAGCGCAGAGGAGGTGGATCGGGGTTGGACAATGGCGTCGTCGTTGTGTCCACGACGGGTGTGGACGTCAGCAACCGCCAAGCAGCCGCCCGACGCAGCCACGATGATGGAGGTAGCACTTGGTGGAGGAGCACTTGAAGAAACGACGAACCCGACGAACTCCAACAACGATCTCCCGGCGCTGCCCAACGCAGCCGCGCCGCCTCCCACCAACCACGCCGCCGCACCCCCTCCCAGCAACAGCGCCGCCGCACCACCTCCGCGCAACCGCGCCGCTGCAACGCCTCCCCCGTAGCCGCGCGCCTCGCCGCAGCCGCACCTCCGTTCGCGCGCCGAAGCAGGAGGGCCACGCTGGAGACGCCGGAGCTGGCCGCCTCTCCCACACCCCGTCCTTCCCCGTGTGGCTGCTATTGCGGCGTGGGCAGCTTGCAACCCCGTGGGCCCGGAGAAACAATTTGCGTGGGCGGTGGGCAGGCCGTCCCTCCCGATCTCCAGTTTTTCTTTTGCTAATTAAAAATTTGTATTATAATTTTCCTTTGTGTTTTCTAGTGTCGTTTGCTTCTTCCGGTGGAGTAGCACAGTGAATCGAGTCTACAAGTTTTTTTACTCACAGCAGCACAGGACTTTGAAGGCGTTTGACAAAAAACGCCTCCAATTGCTATAGTCACTTAAGGCTTTTTTAATTTTGCCTTCAAAAAAATGTTTTTAGAGGCATTTTTTGAAGAGTGCCTTTATGTAACAAGAAATTAAAGCATTTCGAAAAAACGCCTTTAAAAAAATGCCTTCTATTAAGAGACATGCTGTAGTGACCTCCCAAGTGAATTTGAAAGCGGGTTTAACAGACATGGTGTCACTCTCACTAAAAACTGTATTAAAAATTATCCAGGAGGTAAATCAAACAGCTTCATTTTTAAGATAATGGATTTTTAATAATCCAGCCTATATATCGACGAAGGATATGTACAACCAAAATGAGACAAGAGCATTTAGACTCACACTTCAATAAAGAGGAGAACACATATCCAAAAAAAAGGAAAAAAAACTATGACCTCGACACATCTTGCTTCCAGACATCCTCTCCTGAAACGGTCAAACTCGGTGGGTGGAAGTCGTCAAGCTACCGCCACCCCCAGTGCGCCATTGCTGCGAACTTCTGATGGTTGGTTCCATCTTCATCCGCTTCAAGTGAGATGACACCACATGCCATTGGTTAGCCAACTGACGAGAGTCAAACATTGGTGTATGTTAAGTCACAGGAAAGAATTCCTGACCGACGGTTCCCCCAACCGACCTCTCAACAACGTGGCTCGGGGAATATAACCATCGGGTACGCTCGCTCCCACTCTATAGTCGGAAGTTAGGTAGAGCCCCAACACACCCACGGCCACTGTTAGGGTTCACGGGCCCACCAGGGCCCTAGGATCCCGAGCGACGGCAGCCTGAGCCTGACTCGAGCCCAGCACCAATCCGAGCCAGTGCTCGGGCAAGGAACCCATATCGCGAGTGACGGCCAACCTGTCAGGCATCCGAGGTCCCCATAGGTACAGAGATCCCACGACGCCAGTCCGTTCAACACGGGCGCAAGGCACTGTCTGCCACTTTCTCGACTGGGTCACGCAGCCAGCGTGACACAATAGGACAAACGACTTCACCAACTCCAGGGGCGCGAAGCTCCAAGGCCCCACTCGTCAGCCTCCCAGCCAGGCTCCTTCGCAAGCAAGGAAGCCTCGAGAAGGTTCACCTAGTGGAGGCCGGACCACAGCAGACAACCCCTAACGGTCAAGTAAGTATGTTTTTTGAGCAACTAGAGGTAACAATGTTATAACCAATCTTATAGATGGGCTGCTCTACAAATGGGCTACGGGAAGTGCACAAATTGGCAGCCGAAGTAGAGTATGAACTTTGAAGGGATGCGGAATAGATGGGCTCAACCATGAG